TCTGTGAATGTTACATATTTTGTTGAGAAAAAACAGTATGTAAGTTATTAAGTTGTTTGTGTTTAATCTTCCATCATTTCCCTCTCATTGTCCAGCTTTATCTCTGGAGCTGTCACTAAGTGGTATTTAACTTCCTTGATTGGTGAGCTACTTGATGCCACCCACTGATTTTATTGGGACCCTTCTTGTAATTGAGCACCCAGGAAATCTTTCCAAACAGGCCATCAACTAGGTCCCTTCCACCTTGTTAATGGGAAATCTATTGGTTATTGGGTTACCCTGGGGTAATGCAGAGGTCGGTGGCTCAAACATTAGGAAGGTCCTTCCAGTAGTTTGTCATCTGTCTGCACTTCTTACTGCTGAGACATTAACTGTGCCAGGCTGAATGGTGCAGTAGTTCTGTGTCCAACCCACACATGGGTCATGGTCAGCTCTGGTGAGCTGGGAACCCCTATGCCTGTGGATTTCTCCCTGGGAACACCAAGGACCCGCTTCCTCTTAGGCTTTGCCAGCTCATGCAAGTGCTGCTCCCTCTGATTTTCAGATCTCTGATTTCTTGACCTCTGGGGATTATCCTTGCCCCCTTTGGCTTCCCACAGGGGTATGTTTGCCGGGGACCCATGTTCCCTTCTTTGGTTAAAAGACACAGGTAAAACCCAGCTCTTTCGTTTGGAAAACTGCCCCCTTGCCTACCTTGAGGCCATGTGGCTCTTCTGGCTCCGGGACTGGACACAAACCAGCCTGGCCAGTCACAGTGCTGTGTGCAGGAATGGGCATGTCATGTGAGCAACCCAAGCCGGCTCCGCTGAAACTCCTGGGAGGGAGGTGTCCTCCTTCCTTCAGGGCTGCTAAGTTGTGTGGGGAAAGAAGGGTGCTGCTGGCGTCCAAGTCAGGCCCTCGGGAAGAGCCTCCCTAAGAATAAAGCAGTCACGGAAGCAAGGACTGAGAAGTGGAGACCCGTTCCTGTGACCATCACTTCAGCCTCCGGGGCGAGCCATGCTGGAGCCAGAACTATCCCGGGGTTTTTCTGTTATTTGAGCAAACTCCCTTTTGCCTTAAGCCTATTTGAGTTGGGTTTCTGTCTCTTCCAACCACTTCCACTTTCCTCTTGACATTCATACCCCTTACTTCTCATGCTTTGACCTGTCACTGAATATTTCAATTCGCTTATCAGGCTTTTACAAAAGACAGAAAAAACTATTCACTTCAGGCTACTGCTTCTCGGCCCAACAAAAAGCACCTGCTGCTGGCTTGAAATGAAGGTAAGAAGTAAAGTAAAATACAAGTTAACATCTAAAAATATGTATCACATAATATTACCTTAGCCTGTTTGGGCTACTGTAACAAAATACCACAGACTAGGTGGCTTATTAAAAACAAATTTAACTAGTTGTTAACTAAATTGTGGTGATCATTTCACAGTATATACAGATATCAAATCATTGTGTTGTACACCTAAAACTAATATGTATGTCAGTTATATCTCAATTTTTAAAAAACAAAAGGAGGGCGTAGATTGCTAAAAACAAAGTCATAAAAGTCACCACCAGCTGCTCATTCCAACACATGAGGATTATAGCGACTCGATTCTGCCAAGAAGTACAGTAGTTACTACTGTATTTATCAAAAAGTTTAAAAACAGCCTAGCTGGTGTGCCTCAGCCATTGAGCATGGACCTGTGATCCAGGAGATGGAGGTTCGATTCCCGGTCAGGGCACCTGCCTGGGTTGCAGCTTGATCGCCAGCAGGGGGCGTGCAGGAGGCAGCCGACCAATGGTTCTCATCATTGATGTTTCTCTTTCCCTCTCCATACCTCTCTCTGAAATCAATAAAGACATATTTTTTTTAAAAAAGTTTAAAAACCTTTGGAATTTTTTCAGATTTTAAGAAATCAGGCCCCGTCTGGGTGGCTCAGTTGATTGGAATATTGTCCTGTGCACCAAAAAGGTTGCGGGTTTGATTCCCTGTCAGGGCACATACCCAGGTTGTGAGTTCTAACCCATCGGGGACCGTACAGGAGGCAACCAATCAATGTTTCTCTCTCACATCGATGTTTCTCTCTTCCTCTCTCTCTAAAATCAATAAACATATTCTCAGGTAAAGATTTAAAAAAATCATTGAGGTGCTTATTACTACATACTATGTAACATCCCCGTCAGAGACTGAGGCAGCATTCCATAATCACAGAAGGTCTAAAGATTCACATTAAAAAGTATAAATTGTGCCTTGGCTGGTGTGGCTCAGTGGTTAAAGGGTCGGCCTGCACACCAAAGGATCAAGGACACGAACCTGGACTGCAGGTTCAATCCCTGGCCCTGGTCAGGGCGCATGCAGGAGTCAACCAATCCATGTATCTCTCTCACNGATGTATCTCTCTCACATCGATGTTTCTCCCTCCCTCCCATTCTCGAGGGATTAATCACAAGGACCTAATCAGGAGGCCCCAGCTCCTAATTCCGTTACCTAAGGAGTTAGGTTTCCAACATAGGAATTTTGGAGGAACACAAATAGAAAATATATTTTGGGCAATGGGACCAGATTAGAACTCCTAAATAAAGGCCAGAGATTATTTGACCTTGACCAGGTACCAAGAACTTAAGGTAAGAGAAAGAGAAATCCCTACTGTGCTTCAATCCCTTACGTGGGGCCCATCGTGAGCCATATACGGTCTGAGGATTGCTGAGCAAGATGGTATCCGCACATCGCTTTCCTCATGGCTGGTCACACAGCCTGAAAAACTCCGCTTTATCCATCTGCTCAGACACTCCAGAGTATCTGTGTCATGTAAGTAGAAAAAAACCAGTAACGATGACTTTGCAATGCTGGGTTTTCCTTTTGTAAAATGCTGAAACCCTATGTATCCATCCCTGGCCCATATGGCTCAGTTGGCTGAGCGTGATCCCAGGCGCCAAGAGGTCTTCGGTTTGATCCAGTCAGGGCACAAGCCTGGGTTGTAGGCTTGATCCCAGTAGGGGGCATGCAGGAGGCAGCCGATCCATGCTTCCCTCTCTCATCCATGTTTCTCTCTCTCCCTCTGGCTCTCTCTCTAAAATCAATAACATATTTAAAAACAGCTTGGCTGTCGTGGCTCAGTGGTTGAGCATCAACCTATGATCCAGGAGATCCCAGTTGGGTTCCTGGTCAGGGCACATGCCCAGGTTGCAGGCTCAATCCCCAGTAAGGGATGTGCAGGAGGCAGCCGATCAATGACTCATCACTGATGTTTCTATCTTTCCCTCTCCCTTCCTCTCTCTGAAATCAATAAAGACATATTTAAAAACAACAAGAACAAAACCTATGTATCCAGGAGCAAAAGAAGTTGTGAGGGTGGTGAACTATGTGTCTCCGCCCGGGGTCTCCAAAAATGGTCTCAAAGCTAACCAGCCCCTTCCCGCCAGGACTGCCAGCAAGGTGGGCACAGGGACCTCACCTTGTTCCCAGCGTCGCCACGGGTGGTGGTTTGCTCTCAGCCTCCTGTGAGTCTCACCTCTTCTGATTTCCTTACCTTTCTGACCTCCCTCCTCTCCTGCCTTGTTGGACTTGACCAAATGCCCTGGATTTACCGGCGCAGCTCGCAGCCCATGACTTCTGCCGAGCGCCTGGTGGAGGCCAGCAGCTTCTGTTGCGCGGGCTTTGCGGCAGACCCGGCCAGCATCTGAGGGGGCCCTACCACACCACGACCTCCACCAGTGGGGCGTGTTCTGAATTATAAAAGTCTAGGCTCAGGAAGTGAAGGCGGTGATTCGAGAAACGACCTGGACGGGAAACACAGCGCAGACCCCTCAGCCACGTCCAGGCCCGCTGGCCGGGGTACATCGCTTCCTCTCCCTCACGTCAGTAAAAGGAGTTGGAGAGGCCCCCAACTATGGGCCGGGCCGGTTACATCACAATCCCGGGGCCGCTGTGAAAGATTCGCGTTCCCGCAGTCACCGCAGGCCGCAGTTCTGCTCGGTCGCGAGCGCGGGTGGGAACGTTTGTGTGTTCTCGTCGCCAGCCCAGAGGATCCTGAAGGGTACCTGGGTCTGGGAACCACTGCAGTGGATGCTCTTCCGAGGCTAAGAGGTCACTGCGCCTGCTGTCGTGTTAGCTCTACGGGCAGGAGCGAGGGCCCGGTCCCACCGCCAGGCTTCCGTGGGCGCGGGGGGAGCGGTGCGCCCCGCGGAAGGTTAACCGCGCGGCCCTTGCTTCCCCCGGGCGAGGAAGGGCCGCCCCGCCCCGCCCCGCCTCGGGCTGCGGGTGGTGCGGCCCGTTACCGTGGAGACCAGCCACACTCCCCTCCCCGCCTCGGGCTGCGAGTGGTGCGGCCCGTTACCGTGGAGACCAGCCACACTCCCCTCCCCGCCTCCGGCTGCGAGTGGTGCGGCCCGTTACCTTGGAGACCAGCCACACTCCCCTCCCCGCCTCGGGCTGCGAGTGGTGCGGCCCGTTACCGTGGAGACCAGCCACACTCCCCTCCCCGCCTCCGGCTGCGAGTGGTGCGGCCCGTTACCTTGGAGACCAGCCACACTCCCCTCCCCGCCTCGGGCTGCGAGTGGTGCGGCCCGTTACCGTGGAGACCAGCCACACTCCCCTCCCCGCCTCCGGCTGCGAGTGGTGCGGCCCGTTACCTTGGAGACCAGCCACACTCCCCTCCCCGCCTCGGGCTGCGAGTGGTGCGGCCCGTTACCGTGGAGACCAGCCACACTCCCCTCCCCGCCTCCGGCTGCGAGTGGTGCGGCCCGTTACCTTGGAGACCAGCCACACTCCCCTCCCCGCCTCCGGCTGCGAGTGGTGCGGCCCGTTACCTTGGAGACCAGCCACACTCCCCTCCCCGCCTCGGGCTGCTGGTGGTGCGGCCCGTTACCGTGGAGACCAGCCACACTCCCCTCCCCGCCTCCGGCTGCGAGTGGTGCGGCCCGTTACCGTGGAAACCAGCCACACTCCCAGGGCCGCCTCGCTACATAGTTGCTGGGAAGAACTGGAAGCGGGGAGAGCAGCCCTGGGGGCGGGGGCCCTTCTCCCGAAGACGGAGAAATAGACGGAGGCATGCGGGTGGGGGCCGACCGAGGCGGTAAGAGGCGGGGAGGAGACGCTGACCCTGGACCGGGAGAAAAACTAGGGAGCCCGGGGGTGTTAAGCGTCTGCTCCCTCCGTGCCAGGCGTTGTGCCAAGTGTTGGGGCTACAACAGTGGATAAGCAATGGGGCTAATTGGGAGACGGAGGATGACCACTGGTGTGAAAGGGGGTGGGGTCGGGGGCGGCAATTGGAGAACACTTTTCTCACGGGGGCTTAGGGGGCAGCAAATGGGGTTCAGGAGAGGCCTCCTGAGTTTTCTTGTCAAACAAAAAGGGCCAAGGACATTTCTAGAAGTCGGTACAACTTGAGCAAAGAAAGGCATGAAATAACAAGGTGTGT